TTATGTGGTGCACACTGACCACACAGACCCATTCTCTCACATGTGGGCCTACCAGCTTTCTCCCACTTGATTTGAAGCCGCTAGAATTATTGAGTATATATACGTCAGAAACATTGGCTCGTAAGACGTATTTATACGTCGAAAACAGTCAAAGGGTTAATCTTGTCTCCCAGGATGCAGCCCACACCAGTCGACTAACACCCAGGTGAACAGGGAAAAATGCCTGGAACTAGTGCTCATATTGGTGAATTTAAAGCCAGCAAAGGTTGGTTTGAGAGATTTAAGAATCGTAGTGACATACACAGTGTGATAAGGCCTGTTCTGGAAGAAAATGCCAAACAGGACCTACAGTACTCAGGAGGAAAAGGCACTCCCAGGACACAGTGTCTCATCAGTCATTGCTGCATCTTCAATAAAGGTAAGTGTCATTTATTCTTCATTTAGTAGACTAGTACATGCACAATATATACTGTGCATGTACTACTCTACTATTGTGCATGTATCCTTCTCTTTGTGTGTAGGAAAATGTATATTTCACGTGGTAAAAATTTTTTTTTCATACTTTTGGGTGTCTTGCACGGATTAATTTGATTTCCATTATTTCTTATGGGGAAAATTCATTCGCATACCGATTATTTCGCATACCAATGAGCCCTCTTGCACGGATTAAAATCGGTATGTGGGGGTCCACTGTAACTTTTTTCTAATATCCTTATACAGTGGACCCCCGGTTAACGATATTTTTTCACTCCAGAAGTATGTTCAGGTGCCAGTACTGACCGAATTTGTTCCCATAAGGAATATTGTGAAGTAGATTAGTCCATTTCAGACCCCCAAACATACACGTACAAACGCACTTACATAAATACACTTACATAATTGGTCGCATTCGGAGGTGATCGTTATGCGGGGGTCCACTGTACATGTCAAAAATAATACAGTTTAGCTTAGCTTGCATTCTGTTTGTCATTACATAAAGCATTTGAAGAGTCTTAGAAGAATTAACCCTTTCAGGGTCCGTGCCGTAGATCTACAGCTTTACGCTGAGGGTCCAAACTGTAGATCTACGCCATGAGCTCAGCTCACTCTGATAAGCTGTGAGCGGTAAATTTGGGCCTAGATATGAGAGAATACATCTATGTGGTAAGTGTGCACCACATAAAATAAATCCTGCAGCACACAGTGCATAATGAGAGAAAAAAACTGACACCATAATTTTCGATTAAAACAGCAACTTTGCAGTGCTTTTTCGTATGTTTTTTATAGTTGTATTTGCGATTTCTTGGTCTTATTTGATAGAATGGAAGATATATTACAGAAATAGAGATGATTTTGACTGGTTTTAGTACTGAAAATGGCTTGAAACTGAGCTCAAAGTAGCAGAAATGTTAATTTTTTGCCAATGTTCAAAAGTAAACAAACGACCTCACACGTCTAATACATGCCAGCTGGTGGGTCTAATATACATTCACAAATGTGCTGATATTATTTGTACAATTATTACAATATTGCATAACAGTAAATCTTCTATTTTTTGGTTTGAATAAAAATTCATTATGTGAATTAAAAATCAGAATAGAATTCATTTGTAAAGCCTGAAAACATAACTAATGAACAGAGGAAATGTTAGTTTAGTGCCAGGAATGCCGGCATTGTTTATTCTGGACCCTATTTTGAAATTGGAATATTTTGAACTTTGCACTAAATTGGCCAAATTACCAACTTCCAATCACTTTATTTTGTAGTTGAAACAGTTGAGTTGGTGATTTCTTGTGCTCAGTCAATAGAATAGAAGTAATACTAGTGAAATAGCTAAGAATTTGGCTGACTGGAATAAGGTAATTGGCCTAAAATGGGAGTCAGCAAAATCACCGATACGTAAATATTGCTGACACGTCAAAATTCGCGAGAGCATAATTTCGTCAGTTTTCCATCAAATGTCATACTTTTTGTTTTATTACCTTCATAAAAAGATTCTCTACCATTTCATAAGAAAAAATAACAAAATTATTTTTTGAAAATTCTTGGACACAGGTGCACACTTTGAAATTTGGCCTGTGGACCCTGAAAGGGTTAATGTCGGCCTACTGAGCCAAGTTTGGATGTACAGTTAGCAAGGTTTATCATCTGGCATGCATGTAGCAGGCAGCATCATTTGGCTTCTTAGTGTTGGGAGTTTATAGAGACAGAGATTGCTATGCCATATAGAGCCATGTCTGGGAATTGTGGAGATACATGCAAACTCTGACTGGCTCCCATAAATATTGTGTGATTGCAAGTTTCTACTGTAATCTAATTCTCCAATACGTATCTGGAATTCTGTATAGCTGTTATTTTCTATCATCTATTCCTGAGGAGCCTATGTCATTAAGTTGAAGAGAAAGTAATACAGTACTAAACACTTTGGCTGGGCCAAAGCCAAGACTCGGCCAGGAAATAAAATGCCTTCACCTTCCTCAAAATATTACTGTTGATGCTATGACAGTATAATAGGGGCAGCAGCTAGTAGGAGACTTGACTATATATCTTCCTTCATTTTATTAGACAAGTAAACATTACTTTCCCTCATTCCAGAATGTGTGGGATAATCTCTACAAGATGTACAAAAATAACCCTCACTTAAGAGACTGAAACTCATGACACCATTTTGATCCAACTTTGACCATTAACTATCTCTTCACATACACTCCATTCTGTGCCCCTTTTTTCACTACCACTTACCTTATTATTATCACCACCTCTATCAGTGTTATGCTGCTGCTTCTGCTGCTACTACATTATTACTACTCCCTCCACCAATTCTATCATTCTTGCCCCTGCCCCCATATCCCCCTCCCATATGTATTCTGGCTCCCCTCCATGCTCTGCTGTGTAAGTAATTGATAGTCCAAGTTGGGCCTAAGTGCAGGTCATTTGTGCAGATGACTAGTTGTGCTTCATTAAACTTCATTAAGTGCCCATATTTATTCCTGTTCTAGGTAGTAGGTTGGTAGACAGCAACCGCCCAGGGAGGTACTACCGTCTTGCCAAGTGAGTGTAAAACGAAAGCCTGTAATTGTTTTACATGATGGTAGGATTGCTGGTGTCTTTTTTCTGTCTCATAAACATGCAAGATTTCAGGTACATCTTGCTACTTCTACTTACACTTAGGTCACACTACACATACATGTACAAGCATATATATACATACCCCTCTGGGTTTTCTTCTATTTTCTTTCTAGTTCTTTTTTATTTCCTCTTGTCTCCATGGGGAAGTGGACCAGAATTCTTCCTCCGTAAGCCATGCATGTTGTAAGAGGTGACTAAAATGCCAGGAGCAAGGGGCTAGTAACTCCTTCTCCTGTATATATTACTAAATTTGAAAGGAGAAACTTTAGTTTTTTCTTTTGGGCAACCCCACCTCGTTGGGATAAAGCTGGTACGTTGAAAGAAGATTTATTCCTGTTGTGTGCCAGCATTGTTGTAGACATCGCATTTGCTGGCATTTCTGTGTTCATAAATTCTACTACTTGACCTAGCAATTTCTCCTATATACTGTACTTGTTTCATCTACCACATGGTAGATGAAAAGTTTCTCTTGTGTTTCAAAGTTTCTTTTGTGTTTCTTCACCAAGTTTCTGATTGAAGAGGAAGAGTTGGTGGTTATTTTGATGGGTTGGTTGTTAACCCTTTCAGGGTTTCCGATGTACTAGTACGGCTTACTCACCAAGGTTATTGACATACTAGTATGCCTAAATTCTAGCGCCTTCAAATTTAGCGAGAGAAAGCTGGAAGGCCTACATATGAAAGAATGGGTCTTTGTGGTCAGTGTGCACAGTATAAAAAAAATCCTGCAGCACACAGTGCGTAATGAGAAAAAAAACTTTGACCGTGTTTTTGGTTTAAAACAGCGACTTTGCACTATATTTTCATATGGTATTTATGGTTGTATTCTAGTTTTCCTGGTTTCATTTTATAGAATGGAAGGCATATTACAGAAATTGAGATGATTTTGATTGGTTTCACAATGAAAAGTACCTTGAAATTGAACTCAAAGTAGCAGAAATGTTCGATTTTTGCCAAAGTTCAAAAGTATACAAATCATGCCATGCGTCCAATACACGTCAACTGGTGAGTCTAATATTGTTTCACAAGTGCGCTCATATTAGTTATACTATTTTTACACTAATGCAGTAGTCTGCATAACAGTAAATCTTCTATTTTTTGTGAGAATAAAAATTCAAAGTGGAAAGCAAAAGAAATGTAAGAGAGGCGTGGGGATGTAACTAATGAACAGAGGAAATGTTATTTTAGTGCCAGGAATGTCTTGTTTATTCTGGACCCTATTTGGAAACTGGTGTCTTTTAAAATTTGTGTGAAATTGGCAAAATTGCTAATTTCTGACCACTTTATTGGATAGTTGAAAACGGTAAATGAGTGATTTCTTGTACTCATTCATTAGAAAAAATGGAGTTCTAGCGAAATAGTTATGATTTTTGTCGACTAGTACACTGGAATTGGCCGAAAATAGGGCTCAAAGTGGACGAAATCGCCGATGTGTAAACATCCTCGAGACCGCTAACTTCGTGAGAGCATAATTCCGTACTTTTTCCATCAAATTTCATACTTTTGGTGTCATTATGATCTTTTCATAGGAAACAAATCATTTTTTTTTCCCGAAAAATTTTCGACTCTGAAAACAAGTTTAGGAGAGGGCCTCTCGACCCTGAAAGGGTTAAATAGTTTAGCCAACCATATTAGATGCCACATTACTTACCAGCAAAATGAATCTGCTGGCTATCTCGTCTGTAAAAATGACCTACAGAGTTCACATGAAAGTTGCTTGAAGCTGCCTTAATTGTCACAACTGACACAATCCCACAGAGGTATGGAAGCTTCAGTGTTTCCAGGCTTTTGGTTAAAAGAGTGTAATCCATGTTAGAATCAGCTATTAATGACTATTTTCATATTTCCTGCTTGTTTAATTGTATATTAACAATTTTTTTTTTTTTTCAAATTAGAGGAAAGAGATCAGCTTTTGGCAGAAGTTGACTCTATTCATGCCCGTAACCAAATGGAGCATAGTGGAGGAGGCAGCAAGAAAGCTTCCTCAAATTCTTCAGACAATGATGAAGAGGAGGAGGAAGAAAGCCTTGATTGTATTGTAAAGGTAATATAATTTTTTTTATTCCTTTTTCTTTGTTAAAGAGGAATTACAGTTGTGTCAAACAGTAAAGGTCATGGGTTGTTATAGATTGCTTATTTAACAAAAATTTTCAGAGTTCAGTTTTAAATACCTGTATTCAGTGGTTGCAGTATTTTCTACCTCCTTTTGGATACCATTCTAGTAGTCCTTTCTAAACCATTTTTTTCCGTTTAACAATTATAACACGCATACTCCCTGTTGATAAAAAAAAAATACTCATTATAACTTTGATCTTGCAGGGTAAGAGCACAGCTCTAAGTACATTTTATCGTATTGCCCGGAACACTGCAACACAGTGGCAACCTGATCCTGCTGCTCTAGAAGTAGATGAAAGATACTGGTCACTAATAGTCAATGGTACCCATCATGTATGTGTTCTATCTGCAAGCATTGACACTTCAGAACATGGTTATGGCTTTCCCAATCATCGAATGTCACCTTTAGCAAAACATCCATGGAATCTAAAAAACCTTTGCCAGAATCCTAACTCCATTCTAAGAAGTATGGGAACAATTGTTGGTAGGTGGACATCATTCATATATTGTCAACTTAATTGTAAATTCTTTTAATAATTTTTTTTTTAACACGCCAGCCATCTCCCGCCGAGGCAGGGTAACCTGAAAAAGAAGAAGCACCTGCTTTGAAACTTCTTTACTGTAAAAAAAAAGCATTTTCAGTTTTTTATTCATCTCCTGTTTCTCTAAATTATTATAATAAAAAATGAAGTGCTGAACCTACAAGGGTCATACAGCACAGAGGGGCAGGGAAGAACACAGGGGATTGGGTAGCAAGAGGGAGAGGTATTATTATTAGGGTCATGCAGTGCTTACAAACTGGTTGTTCTTAGAAAAATGAAGTCACTCTTTCTTACTCTCCAGCCATCTTCCCACAAGTTACAAGTATTGTAATCCAGTGAAGCCCCTCCTGCCCACTGAACTGTATGTTCTGTTATTTTCACTAATAAAACACTTATTTGAGGCCCAAAAGCCATGAGTTAAACAAAAAACTTGCAGATCTTGAATTCCTAGTTAAATAAGGAGTTCTGTTCCAGTTACCCTTGATAAAAAGCCCACTGTATACACATTATATTCATTAATTTTTGTCATTTTTTTAGTTTATTGCTTTCAGATTGTAAGCATTTTTTGCAAATGCAGTAACTATAAATTGTTGTGCTGAAGGCAGGTTGTCAAATATATATATATACACTAAGTGGTTACTGTATTAGGAACTCCTATACCCTTGGTCATTAATACAAATACAGTGGTACCCCGAGTTTCGTACAGCTCCCAACTCAAACAATTACGTAAGTGTATTATTGTAAGTGCTTTTGTAAGTATTTTTGGGGGGTCTGAAACTGACTTAATATAATATACACTATTCCTTATGGGAACGAATTCGTTCGGTAACGGCACTCTAATAGCCTTCTGGAACAAATTATGGCCAAAACTCTGGGTACCATTGTATTTAATAAGCCAGTCACAAGGCAGCACCTCACTGCTTAAAAGCATGCAGATATGGTCAAGGGGTTTGGTCGTTGTTCAGGCCAATCATCAGAATGGGAAAGAAATGTGATTAAAGTGACTGACTGTGGAATGATTGTAGGTGCCAGATGTAGTAGTCTGAATATCTCATAAACTGCAGATCTGGGATTTTCACACACAGCAGCGAAAAACACAAAACATCCATTGAGCGGCAATTCTGTGGGCGAAAACACCTTGATAATGAAAGAGTTCTGAGGAAAATGGCCTGATTGATTCAAGCTGATAGGAAGGTGACAGTAACTCACCCACACTCTATAACAGTAGTATTCAGAAGAGCATCTCTGAGCATGCAAAACATCAAACCTTAAAGCGGATGGGCTACAGCAGAAGACCACACCAGGTTCCACTCCTGTCAGTTAAGAACAGGAAATTAAGGATACAGTGAGTACAGGCTCACCAAAACTGGATAGTTGAAGATTGGAAAAATGTCACCTAGTCTGATCAATTGCGATATCTACTACGACATTTGGGATGCTTGTGGAAAATGTTGCCACATTTGGGATGTGGTGGAACAGGAGAGATACAGCATGAATGTGTAACTGTTTTGAGGACAAAGGGGAGGGCCCTATCCAGTATTAGAATGATGTACCTAATAAGGTGGCCACTGAGTGTATACTTATAATGTATATAAGTTTATTATATTAAGTAGTAGGTTGGCAGACAGCAACCACTCAGGGAGGTACTACTGTCCTGCCAAGTGAGTGTGAAACAGAAACCTGTAATTGTTTTACATGATGGTAGGATTGCTGGTGTCTTTTTTTTTCTTTCGTAAACACGTAGGATAACAAGTACAGTGGTCCCTCGCTTTTCGTAGTTCTCGGCAATCGTAAATTTCGCCAATCATAGGGGTATTTTCGTATAAACATGGACTCGCTTTTCATAGGTTGACTCGCGCCTAGTAGTTCGTCCGGGACGCGTACGCATGGTGTGAGCCAAGGCGGCCTCCCTACCCAGCCAGTCTGGCATTGTTTACCAGTGAGTGAAGGTCCCCTCAAGTGCTCCTACGAAATATTTCATAATATTCCACTCATTTTAGTGCTTGCAAGTACTAAATAAGCTACCATGGCTCCAAAGAAAGCTCCTAGTGCCAAGCCTGTGGTAAAGAAGGTGAGAAATATATACAGTGACAAAGTCTTGGGCCATTTTAGGGAAGTGTTAAAGAGACGCCAGAAACAGAGCTCTCTCCACAGTTACTTTGCGAGACAGGACTAGAGTGACTCTCAAGGTGGTCCTAGTGGCATTAAGAAACAGAGAAGAGAAGCAACCCCAGAGAAGCAATTGGTACCTGAGGTGTTGCTGGAAGGGGATTCCCCTTCCAAACTGTAAACAATCCAATCTCTCTCCTTCTCCAGTCTCCCATACACTAAGAAGAATCTCCAATAAAGGTAAGTGTTATGCTGTTAATGTTTCATTCATCATTTCCCATTGTATTGTTTATGTACTACATGTATATTTCATGTAAAAATTTTTTTTGTTTCAATACTTCTGGGTGTCAGGAACGGATTAATTGTATTTACGTTATTTCTTATGGGGAAAATTGATTCGCAAATCGTAAATTTCGTTTATAGTAGCTCCTCCAGGAATGGATTAATTACGAAAAACGAGGGACCACGGTATATCTTGCTACTTCTACTTGCACTTAGGTCACAACTACACATGCATGTACACCCATGTATATTTACACACCAATCTAGGTTTTCTGTTTTCTTCATAGTTCTTGTTCTTTATTTTCTCTTATCTCCATGGGGAGGTGGAAGAGAATTCTTCCTCTGTAGGCAGTGCATGCCAAAGGAGGCGAATATAATGCTTGGAGCAAGGGACCAGTAACCCTTTCTCCTGTATAAATTACTAAGGGTAAAAAGAAAGACTTGTTTGTCTTTTTGGGTCACCCTGCTTTGGTGGGATATGGCCGGTTTGTTAAAAAAAAAAAAAGTGTTTATTACAACTATCCCACAATTTGGAGACAAATTGTGGGTTAGTTGTAATAAACATTACAACCCATGGACAGTGTTCCTGTCCATGGGTTAGTTGTATGTAATGTGTATTACATAGCTTCAGGTATAAATTATCAGTAACTCTTTAATCTGGAGTTCAAATTTTTTATATTAATGCCTTTTGCTTGACAGTAGTGATACACTACAAATTTTCCCCTAATACTAATCAGTGTAGAAGGTAATATGAAAGGTCTAAGGTTTCTTGTAATGTCTCTTACTCTAAACAAATAACCCGCACATAAAAGAGAGAAGCTTACGACGACGTTAATATAAACGTCGTAAGCTTCTCTCTTTTATGTGCGGGTTATTTGTGTATCGTTCCAGTCACAGTATTGTGCCTTTTTTGTTATTTTTACTCTAAAGTCTTTATCCCACTCCTTGGAAAGTGGAAAGCTGGGTAATGATAAAGATGATGTATTCCTACTATAGTATTATCCTTGCAGGTGTAACTGCTCCCACATTACATGTTGGGATGTTGTTTTCCACTGTGTGCTGGTATCGTGACCCACACAGTCTACCCTGGATTGAGTACCTTCACACGGGGGCATCCAAGATATGGCAAGTATATCATTTATATGTTTACCTATTGTTGATACTGTAGGTCATTGCCCCCACAGCCATATCCCAGATAAAGCATCCTGTCTGATGTCTTGATTGGATAGTATGATGGTGGTAGTAGCATGCAGTCTAATGGAGGCACCACTGCTCCTCTAATCAGGATCTGGCGCAAGGAGCTTAATCAACTCTTATCTTGAAGACAGAGACCTATTGGTGTTAAAAACACTTGCCTTCACTCACTCAGATCTAATGCACTCACGCAACCCTGCTGGATGCTTAAGCTCCTAGCACTCAAAATCTCCTTTATTCCCTCCAACCATTTCTGGAATGACTCCTACCTCTCCTGCCTTCCACTCCAGATTTGTACACTGTGTCATCCTTTCTCTCCTCATCTTCTGCATCCCCAGACCACTTCAATAACACTACCTCAGCCCTCTGAATTATATCCTTGGTGACCCCCACATTGCCTTTTAATTTTTATGCTGAATTCTTTGCATGTTTTTCACACCACGTATTGCTCTTCAGCGTGACATCTCAGTAGCCTTTGGCCTCCACAATGCAATTTTTGAAACCCATGTCACACATCCACATAGAAATGTTGATACCTCTACTCTTGTACATAAAGGAAGTTCATCATTTCTAAAGTTACACGTTTAATTGCTGACATAGAATGTTTTGCTTGAGCTTCAGAGATCTTTGGTGCTTGATGGTAGGTAGTTACTGAGCGAGTGTAATAAATCTCTTTTTTATATTGGAAATGCAGTATATTTCAAATTAATCAGAATATTGAGTGAAAATTGTTTTTTCACATCTGCCATTTCACATTTATCATCACCCATTTAAAAGCTTTCTTACTAGAAGTGCTTGGGCATCACAGTTGAAATGACTCAGTGAAATTCAATGTCATATATCCTTCAGTGTGTAGGCACTGTACTTCCAACCTCCAGAACTTGTCCAGCTGTTTCCCTTGAATCATTTCATGAATATTACTTAGCTTACATTCCAATAGTATGTCAAACCTTGAAAACCATTTGTACTCTGATCGAGAAGATTTACATGCTTGCTGGGTGCTTAAGCTACTACCAGTTAAACCCTCCTCTCCTTCCTGGGAAGCCCCCTAACCCTTCTTCCAACTGCCTTAGATTTGTACACCCTCTTGGTCAACCAATCTCACTGAATCCTTTATAAATGAATAATCCAGCAGAGTGACCCCAAAGAAGAAATTTCTTGTTAAGTAAAAAGACAGAAGTACAACTAATTTTTTTTTTTTTTTAACAAGTCGGCCAGCTCCCACCGAGGCAGGGTGACCCAAAAAGAAAATACTGTCATCATCATTCAACACTTTTACCTCACTCACACATAATCACTGTTTTTGCAGAGGTGCTCAGAACCCAACAGTTTAGAAGCATATACATATAAAGATACACAACTTTTTTTTTTTTTTTTTTTTTTTTATCGCACTGGCCGATTCCCACCAAGGCAGGGTGGCCCGAAAAAGAAAAACTTTCACCATCATTCACTCCATCACTGTCTTGCCAGAAGGGTGCTTTACACTACAGTTTTTAAACTGCAACATTAACACCCCTCCTTCAGAGTGCAGGCACTGTACTTCCCATCTCCAGGACTCAAGTCCGGCCTGCTGGTTTCCCTGAACCCCTTCATAAATGTTACTTTGCTCACACTCCAACAGCACGTCAAGTATTAAAAACCATTTGTCTCCATTCACTCCTATCAAACACGCTCACGCATGCCTGCTGGAAGTCCAAGCCCCTCGCACACAAAACCTCCTTTACCCCCTCCCTCCAACCTTTCCTAGGCCGACCCCTACCCCGCCTTCCTTCCACTACAGACTGATACACTCTTGAAGTCACTCTGTCTCGCTCCATTCTCTCTACATGTCCGAACCACCTCAACAACCCTTCTTCAGCCCTCTGGACAACAGTTTTGGTAATCCCGCACCTCCTCCTAACTTCCAAACTACGAATTCTCTGCATTATATTCACACCACACATTGCCCTCAGACATGACATCTCCACTGCCTCCAGCCTTCTCCTCGCTGCAACATTCATCACCCATGCTTCACACCCATATAAGAGCGTTGGTAAAAACTATACTCTCATACATTCCCCTCTTTGCCTCCAAGGACAAAGTTCTTTGTCTCCACAGACTCCTAAGTGCACCGCTCACCTTTTCCCCTCATCAATTCTATGATTCACCTCATCTTTCATAGACCCATCCGCTGACACGTCCACTCCCAAATATCTGAATACATTCACCTCCTCCATACTCTCTCCCTCCAATCTGATATCCAATCTTTCATCACCTAATCTTTATGTTATCCTCATAACCTTACTCTTTCCTGTATTCACTTTTAATTTTCTTCTTTTGCACACCCTACCAAATTCATCCACCAATCTCTGCAACTTCTCTTCAGAATCTCCCAAGAGCACAGTGTCATCAGCAAAGAGCAACTGTGACAACTCCCACTTTATGTGTGATTCTTTATCTTTTAACTCCACACCTCTTGCCAAGACCCTCGCATTTACTTCTCTTACAACCCCATCTATAAATATATTAAACAACCACGGTGACATCACACATCCTTGTCTAAGGCCTACTTTTACTGGGAAATAATTTCCCTCTTTCCTACATACTCTAACATATCCTTCCAAATTGCTGATATCCTGAACCCCTCCTTTAGAGTGCAGGCATTGTACTTCCCATTTCCAGGACTCAAGTCCGGCAATGTTTCTCTCTCCAGGAGCTTTGTTAAGCCGTAGCGGCTTGACAAAGCTCCTGGAGAGCGAAATGTTGCAACAACAAAATGTCACATTAGTTGCATTACTTAACATATTGTCGGTAATTCTACTTGATAATTTTTCTGGGCTTCCAGATTTTGATCTCTGTGAACATAGATTGCACACAATAATTCTGTAAAAGTTCTCAGTATGATTTGAACTTTTGTTTAATTTATTAAGTGGATTTTATGTATATACAGTGGAACCTCGGTTTTTGAATGCCCTAGTCTGTATGTAAAACTATAGTTATTCTCTATAAAAAGTATTTTTTGTTAATATTTTTGGGAGTCTGGAACGGATTAATTGGATCTACGTTATTTCTTATGGGAAATATTAGCAAAAAATGCATTTTATAGAGAAGGAAGGGGTAAGGGAGGTTTTGTGGGCGAGGGGCTTGGACTTCCAGCAGGCATGCATGAGCGTGTTCGATAGGAGTGAATGGAGACGAATGGTATTTGGGACCTGACGATCTGTTGGAGTGTGAGCAGGGTAATATTTAGTGAAGGGATTCGCTAAATATTACCCTGCAAAAACAGTGATTATGTGTGAGTGAGGTGAAAGTGTTGAATGATGATGAAAGTATTTTCTTATTGGGGATTTTCTTTCTTTTTGGGTCACCCTGCCTCGGTGGGAGACGGCCGACTTGTTGAAAAAAAAAAAAATTATAGTTTTACATACAGACTAGGGCATACGAAAGCCGAGGTTCCACTGTATTACACAGACAACCTGCACATAGTAGAGAGGAGCTTATGAACTTTTTGTAAAGCAATAAACCCTTATGGGTCATTCAGTGCAGGTAGTGTGTAGGCTAATTGTGGCTTCATCTCTGATCAGCCAGGCTGTTGGTAATCACAAAAGTGGGAAGAAGGGCTAAAACTTGTCCATAAATTTGTAAGAAAACAATATTTAACAGGAATGTAATATTTAATTCTTTCAATTTTTTACTTGTATTTATCTGTGCAATTTCATGATTGATAGAGTGGATAGGGGAGCAATGTGGCAGATGTTGCAAATACATATATGGAATAGGTGGTAAGTTACTAAATGCTGTAAAGAGTTTTTATGAGGATAGTGAGGCTCAGGTTAGGATGTGTAGAAGAGAGGGAGACTGCTTCCCAGTAAAAGTAGGCCTTAGACAGGGATGTGTAATGTCACCATGGTTGTTTAATATATTTATAGATGGGGTTGTAAAAGAAGTAAATGCTAGGGTGTTCGGGAGATGGGTGGGATTAAATTATGGGGAATTAAATACAAAATGGGAATTGACACAGTTACTTTTTGCTGATGATACTGTGCTTATGGGAGATTCTAAAGAAAAATTGCAAACGTTAGTGGACGAGTTTGGGAGTGTGTGTAAAGGTAGAAAGTTGACAGTGAACATAGAAAAGAGTAAGGTGATGAGGGTATTAAATGATTTAGATAAAGAAAAATTGGATATCAAATTGGGGAGGAGGAGTATGGAAGAAGTGAATGTTTTCAGGTATTTGGGAGTTGACGTGTCAGCGGATGGATTTATGAAGGATGAGGTTAATCATAGAATTGATGAAAAAAAAGCGAGTGGTGCGTTGAGGTATATGTGGAGACAAAAAATGTTATCTATGGAGGCAAAGAAGGGAATGTATGAAAGTATAGTAGTACCAACACTCTTATATGGGTGTGAAGCTTGGGTTGTAAATGCAGCAGCGAGGAGGTGGTTGGAGGCAGTGGAGATGTCCTGTCTAAGGGCAATGTGTGGTGTAAATATTATGCAGAAAATTCAGAGTATGGAAATTAGGAGAAGGTGTGGAGTTAATAAAAGTATTAGTCAGAAGGCTGAAGAGGGGTTGTTGAGATGGTTTGGTCATTTAGAGAGAATGGGTCAAAGTAGAATGACATGGAGAGCATATAAATCTGTAGGGGAAGGAAGGCGGGGTACGGGTCGTCCTCGAAAAGGTTGGAGGGAGGGGTAAAGGAGGTTTTGTGGGCGAGGGGCTTGGACTTGCAGCAAGCGTGCATGAGCGTGTTACATAGGAGTGAATGGAGACGAATGGTATTTGGGACCTGATGATCTGTTGGAGTGTGAGCAGGGTATTATTTAGTGAAGGGATTTAGGGAAACCGGTTATTTTTATGTAGCCGGACTTGAGTCCTGGAAATGGGAAGTACAGTGCCTGCACTTTAAAGGAGAGGTTTAGGATATTGGCAGTTTGGAGGGATATGTTGT